TAAAAAATCTAAACACTTTGAAGTGGTTTCACTAATTACATGACTAGTTGACCCTTCCATATAATTTTAATTTTCAGGTTATTATTGTCCAGCCAAGACTAAGAGATACAATGAGTTTCCTTGTCCACGTGGTATGTTTAACAATCTAACTCATCGTGTTGAATTAAACGACTGTCAGCCTTGTACTGGTGGAATGTATTGTGATACAGAAGGGTTATCAGAACCAACAGGACTTTGTCAACAAGGTAATGTTACACATCAACATGAGATTGCAGGTTTTATGACTGCCTGCTGAGAAATGGAAAAGTACAACATGTTCCAAAAGTTTGTTCACGTTGATTAGCAATCAATAAAACAAACACATGCTGATAGAATCCCAAAATTTAATATCCACTGTATCCCCCTTTCTTCTTAATAACAGATTTGAGCCACTCAGGCATAGAGTGCACCAAGTTCTTGAAAAATTATGAATTAATGTTCCTTTACATGTACTTAGCACTCACACACCAGATTTGCTGTATTTGAAGGTTATACAAGCCTTGAATGTGTAGTTTTTATATTGTATACATTAAATTTTCTTTGTAGGTTATTTCTGTACCAGTGGTTCGAATTTGTCAACACCAACTTTCAGTGACGGCAATGATGTATGTCCAGTTGGTCACTATTGTACGGAAGGATCAGCAGCACCACATCCATGCCCACCTGGTACTTTCAATCCAGATATTCTATTGACCAATGAGAATGACTGTTTCAACTGCACACCTGGGTATTATTGTGAACACTGGGGTATGAACTATACCGACTCACTTTGTGATGCAGGTTAGTAACGAGATGTATGCTCTGCAGCGCCCTCTCACCAGATTTTGCGCCCTCTAGTGGCTGTCTCAATGATTTTGATTTTTATTAACAATAATCGATTATATCTTGTGTGGATGGTTCACATTTACTAATTTGAAAATATAATACATTAAATATTTATTTATTATATACATTATTGTAGGTTATTATTGTGATAGTGGAGCTGATATTGCCCAGTTTAAACAGTGTACATCAGGTCATTATTGTCCCATTGGTACAGATATACCTATAGATTGTCCTGCTGGTACATGGTCCAATACACCAGGACTTGAAGCACAAACAGATTGTACTGGATGCCCAGGTATGTCACATTACTGATGGTTCATCTTTAATTTCTTGCATTTGTTTTTCACTTTCTCAATAATAATACTAATGCTCATATTTATATAGGGCCTAAATCTTTGATTTTATAATGCTGAAGGACACATTATTACCCTGGTCAATTTTTCATATACTGATTCAAACTTGTTCTCCAACTGAACTCCCTGGTGCATGCAACCCTGGCTGTGATATATATGCACACATGAGTGAAATGCTAATCAATTCCATACCAGGTTTGCATTTACTCCTGGGTTAATAGAGAGAGAAGCAGTAGGAGTAAAATACAAAATTTTGGCATATCCAGGACTGAAACTCACAAATCCTGCAATTGCAGCCCAGAGTGATAATTCTAATGCCTTTTTTCATGAGATATTCTCTAAATCTTATCTTAAATATGAAGTTCAAATCTGTATATCTAAGGATGGGATCCAAACAAATATAAATAATTAGGAAAGTTTATATACAAGTATGAATTTTTAAAACAAATAATGTAAACAACTGCATCAGAAAACATGAAATTACTTTAGCATGTATTATTTTTAATTATTATTCCCTGTTCAGATGAAATGTTAAAACAAGGATTTATGGATTGACTTCCATGTGTGTGTGCCTGCGTTTGTGTGTATCCCACCTTTATCTGAAACATGCCTGGATTGTGGCCGTTTTTGTGCATTTCTGCCATTCAGAAACAGGATTTTGGTCATGTATAGATACATTTAATTTAAACTTGGTATATATATTGTATTGTATGTAATGGGATCTTGATGCACATTTTGTTTTTAAGATCAACTTCAAAATGGCCAACTGGGAGCCATTTTGTTTTAATGAATGCTGTTCCAGAGTCATATTTCTGAAATGCCAGATCTGTTCATATTCAAACTTGATCTATTTCTAGAACTTGATAACTTACAGGGACTATGTAATGCAATTACTTATCTAAGTACCAGTAATTAACCCTAACATCTTCAATATCAACAGGTGGTTTCTACTGTCCTACAAGTGGTATGACTGAAGTGACTGAGATATGTTGGGGTGGGTATTACTGCCCTGGTAATAACAGTGTGCCAAACCCAGCTGAGTTTATTTGTCCAGTTGGTTTAGTTTGTCCCAATGGTAGTGAGATTTATAAGGTAAGATACATTCCCTTTCAAAAATAATATTTAGAATGAGAAAAACGGAAATTAAATTGGTAAAGAAGTGGGTGGTTCATGGTAAAAATTTGAAATACAACAATTCATTGAAAATGTCAGACTAGATGACATGTATAGTAACTTTTAGTTTGACTAATTAAATTAAATCGATATTAATTTAATTGCATTCTTTATCACGAAATCATGTGTATATAAACGGCTTTTCAAGCAATTATTTTATGCTTAATTTCTTTGTGTAGAAAATAGAAACTTTTCTATACATTATAAAAAGGAAAATTGTAAAAAAAATTGATTATGTTTTAATTTTCTTGTTGTAGTCATGTGAGCCAGGATATTATACAAACTTTACTGGAGCTGCAGAATGCGTGATTTGCCCTGAAGGTTACTATTGCCTGCCAGTAGAAATACACAATGCCTCATTAGCATATCAACCATGCCCAAAAGGATACTTCTGTCCAATTGGTAGGTATTATGGGATATATCCACTCTGGATTCCAATAAATACACTCTGCTCTGTACATAATATTGTGAAATACTTTATTTTCGCTTGGAATTAATTTTCGCTGAAGGAATGGTTCAGTGAAAATAAAACCCAGTGAATATACCTTTTTTTCTATATTTTACATTCAACTCATCAAAAATCAGTGAAAATAAATTCCATAAACGTCTTTTCAGCAAAAATTAATTCCAGCTAAAATAAATAATTTTACAGTATCATCCATGATGTTCTATGTAATTGTTATTTAAAGTTTGACATTACTCTTTGTTGAATTTGACAGCTATACTTTAAATTACAGCAACCATGCACATGTCACAATTGCAGAGAAGAAGAATAATGGACACCTTCCATTTGAATATCCAATTGACTCACAGACAATTACTGTCATTTGAACTAATTTAGATCAACTATTGCAAGATTAGCTAAATAAAACAATTATATTCTTACAATAAAATGTTGGAATTTTACCTAAATTACGATTCTGTTATTTTATGATATTTAGCTATTTTAAAGTTTCTGACATAACACCACTCAGGTTATGATAAGTTAATTTTAAATTGTATATTATTATTTTAAAATATTAAATCCTAGTAATAATGGAGTACTCTCTTTGTAAATGTTTTCTCTCACAGGGACTGGACTTGATTGGCAGTCTTGTCCAGCCGGTACATACAATGATGTAGAAGGGTTGAGTGAACAAAACCAGTGTTCACCTTGTGAGGGCGGTATGTACTGTGATAATGTTCATCTCACAGCACCTACTGGTAATTGCTCTGAAGGTAAGTCCAATGTAATATAGCCATCACCTTGTACAGTGTAATAGGGCTGGTTAATTTGTTGCATTGATTCAGTATGATATATATATATCAGTAGAGTTACTGACCCTTGTTTTATCCACCCTTATCAGGTTATTATTGTACATCTGGAGTTGACAGACCTATGCCTAGTGCTGATAACATTACAGTAATTGATGCATCTTGTGCTTGCCCAGAGCAGAGTTTTTTCAGAGGTAAGATTTGTATTTAATGGTAAATTTTTTGTTACTGTGGTGATAAAATAGTTTACGAGAAAGGGAGTATCAAAACTATATGCTGTAACTTTTTCTTTGTAGTTACAATGACATGAATAATGTCTATTTACTTTGATCAAATTGTGATTTAATATGAAGTATAATTATTGACAATGTTTTTTTTTTTTTATTTTACTGTAATTATTATCTTCTTCAAAATGTAAAAGTAAAAAAAACCTGTCTGTAATTCCTTATTTTGTTGTAGGTGTTGGTGGGATATGTCCATTAGGTCATTATTGTCCCCTGGGTACCACACACCCTATACCCTGTGAAGATGGAACATATAGCGATGTACTGGGAAGATCTACGTGTAAACTCTGTCCAGCTGGTTACTACTGTACTGCTAATTCTACAGAGTTTGATGCCTACCCTTGTCCAGCAGGTAATGTATTGTGCCACTTATTGTGAATCCTACTGCAATACAGTCCTGTTAACCCTTATATTCCTGTTGTAATCTTCCACAAAATAGTCCAGTTGACCCTTTTACTCTCATTGTATCTTCTCTCAAAATAGTCATTTTTAAAATCTGTTTTTATACAAATTTAAAAACTGTTGGTTCAGCATCAACCTTTTTGAATGCCAAAGTCAACTGTTGTATCCTTCCACAAAATAGTCCAGTTAACCCTTTCACTCTCATTATACCCTTCCACAAAATAGTCCATTTTAAAATCTGTTTGTATACAAATTTAAAAACTGTCAGTTCAGTATTAACCTTTCAAATGCCAAGGTCAACTGTTGTTACCTTTCACAAATGAAAGGCTACCCATTTTTAGCGTGTGTTGTTATCGTCGCTTGGGACTCAATTCCCGCGTATGTGCAGGTGATGACTCTCCCGCTTTAACAGTGAAGATTAATAATGCTCAATTTTGAAAAAAATCAGACAGATTTAATTTTGACCGATCTGACAGTAACTTGAGCAATGTATCAAATTATGGTTGATATTAGTTTTCTGACGGATTGTGAATATATTTATCATAAAAGTGGTAGTTGTGTCATTTTATTTGTTTTGTATTGGTATAATCATCTTCTCAAAATCTTGAATCAAAGTGTTCTTATACTGGTAGAAATAACTGATTTCTTGTTTTATTCTTTCAGGTTACTACTGTCCAAATGGCACTCGGTATTCAACTGAATTCCCATGTGTACCAGGTACATTCAATGCACTACTGTACGGTAGAACGATAGATGATTGTATACCGTGTCCTCTTGGTAAATACTGTGAAGGGTTTGGTAATAGTAATTATACTGATGATTGCATGGCTGGATGGTACTGTTCTGGTGGATCCGCAAGTCCCAATACTACCACACATGGTGGTATATGTCAACCTGGATACTACTGCCCTCAAGGTCTGTTGAAATATTATTTTTATTTCATTATTTGAATTCAAAATTTTAATTAGAAAAATTATTAGTCCTCGTCGGACGTAGTCTGAAACAGGGACTTATGTTTTGGGTTCTGTCTTTGTGTCTGTCATCATTTCTCAGAGATGCCTGGATGGATTTTCTTCACAGCTGGTACAAAGACAAGTCATAATGAAAGACATGTGCACATCGATTTATTTTTTATTTGGCTGATGTTGCCTTGACTGATTTCATTCAAAATTGGCATTGACATCAGTCATAGTAGGTTACTGATGCACGTCATTTTGGCGGACTGGTGGCCATTTGTTTATACAACTAATCTGATATTTGGGGTAAAAATGTTTGTTGTACGTTGCAAGGTAATTGTTAATAGGGCAGTAGTTAGTGCTACATTTATGATCTGCTAGTTTATTTGAGGTTGAACACTGATAATTCAGCAGCCCAGATCAAAGGTTAAGTGTACTACAGATTCAGAATTACCATACTACCCTGTCATTTAGTTGTGATATGTAAAGTGGTTTCTGTGAAGTAGAATTTGTCAATGAAGCCATAAAGTGTTAATTGATTTATTAAAAACATCTGTACTGGATATTATGACTCTTTGACTGCGTTTTTTTTAAGAAAACTGTCTATTTTATTGAAACCTTGCTGTCTTTATAACAAGTTTTCACAGAATAACATATCGACCACTTTCTAACATGGAATGTTTATTATCTTTCAGGTTCTGCGGCTCCTTTACCCTGTCCAGGAGGTGAATTCTGCCAAACAGAAGGACTAGCTCTACCAACAGATTACTGTTCTGCTGGTTATTATTGTACATTAACATCGGATACACCTACTCCTGGTGATGGCATCATTGGTGATATATGCCCTGCTGGTTTTTACTGTCCAATGGGATCACCCTATCCTATACCATGTGACCCTGGTACTTATACACCTGTCATTGGTAATGTTAACATCACTGACTGTACTCTGTGTAGTTTAGGTGAATACTGCGAAGAATTCAACATGACACAGACATCAGGTAAGAATAGGAAGTTGTAAAGACAACACAGTTTTGGAATTTCCTTTGGGATATCAATTATACACTGTAAAACATGTCTTTTTCGCGAATTTAGTGAGAGAACTATTCACTAATTTAAGATGTTGCTAATGACTTCATTATAAATTCAAAATGGCGGCCAAACAACGTCCTTTTGTCCACACATACTATATGTAAACAACACAGAAAAACATAATAATCTGGAGAGCTTCCCTATTACACTTGATAGTTTTTCTTTGTTTTTATAGAGCTGATAACTACGCATTTGTTTTGGCAGGCGAAGGACAAGTACTATGAAAACAGGAAATCAACAAAAACTAGAAAGATTCGCTAAATCAACATTTTGATATTACGTCCTTTAACCGCAATTCGCAAAAATAGTATGTCGCTTTTTCAACATGCTTTACAGTATTTGTTGTCAAGAGTTACTGATGATAACAACAAAATTGAATATTTTAGACACAAATGTTGGAATAAGTCAAAAAATGTTACAGACCAAACATTATTAATTCCTAGTATATATGTAGCTGGGATTTATTCCTATATTTCCCATAAATTTCAATATTTCAATGATCAACCTAAATCTGTCATTCCAGAAAAGTGACTTGTCACCTCACACTGTATTTTACACCAGACTGTACTGTATGGTATCATTTTAAAGGAAAAAGTGATATCTGGCAACAAATCTCAATCATAAGTAAATTAGACTAATTATTAATTGTGATTTTGTCTAATAGGTAACTGTACGCAAGGCTACTATTGCCCTAGAGGTCAAAACATTGCTGACCCCATTGAATGTCCTGAGGGTCACTACTGTCCTGAACATTCATTTGAACCGCTACTGTGTCCTAGTGGTACATATCAAGACCTTGCTGGCCAATGGACATGCAAGACCTGTCCAGCTGGGTATTACTGTGATAACTCATTGGGTGTTGTTATAATCAATGATACAATCACATGCCCTGCTGGAAGCTATTGCCCACCTGGAACTCAGAGAGCTGATCAACATTTATGTCCACGTGGTACCTATGGTAACCAGACTGGATATGACCAGGTTGTGGACTGTACACCTTGTTCTGGTAAGTTCATACAACTAATTTCATTATTTTCTGCAAATACTGGCAATATAATATATTATAATATTTGTTACTATATCATAATGAAAACTTAACAATTCATTCAGTAATGAATATACAAATTTGTTTATGGGTACAGTTACTTATCTACACTGTTGTCGTCTCTCATCAGGTGGTTACTATTGTGAAGAGATTGGTCTCACCTATCCTACCGGTCTGTGTGCTGCTGGATTCTATTGTAGACAGTATGCTAATACATCTACACCTAACTTAGGTTATGATGCTGATGTCTGTCCACAAGGTATGGATGTGACTGTTATATCCTTAATATGGTATACATGCTACATGTACATGTTCACGCTAGTAATTTACTATTGCATAATTTATTGATTACAATTCTGTCCTGGGATTCAAAACCTACCAGACATAATATATGATATATATTTTTTAATTGTGGTTTAATGGTAGGTTCCTACTGCTTAGAAGGCACTGCAGAACCATATGCCTGTCCACCAGGTACCTTTGGAGCTACAGAAGGTTTACATAACTCTAGCAGTTGTACACCATGTCTAGCAGGATTCTATTGTGAAAGTGAAGGACTTCTTGATGTTGAAGGTAAATTGTTTATCTAGCGACAAATGTATATTATTACTGTGCAGAAGGCTCTATGTTAAATGTATAACTGTTATCTGTTCAGGTCCATGTAGTGCTGGTTATTACTGTGCAGAAGGCTCTATGTTAAATGTATAACTGTTATCTGTTCAGGTCCTTGTAGTGCTGGTTATTACTGTCCAGAAGGCTCTGATTCACGTACTATGGTTGTATGTACAACTGGTGACCATTGTCCACAACAGTCAGATATTCCTACACTGTGTCCAGAAGGTACATTCAATCCGTATGAAGGTCTTAATAGCACCGATCAGTGCACACCGTGTACTCCAGGAATGTACTGTGAAGAACAAGGTCAGTAACAAAATATATTTATAGTAATTTAAGTGTGTTTATAAATTATGAGGATGGCGTAAAGTATGCACAAAGGCAGTACAGTGATTGTATTGCCCAGAAAGAGAAGGATGCCCAGAAATGAGTAAAATGATGAAAATCTGCCATCTTGGAAATTGTTCTTTATTTGTAATTCACATTTTCTAATATGCTAAGATGCAGATACTGTTTCCAATACTACACAATTATAATAACAACTTATATTCTAATGCTTTGTTATTATAATTGTAAGCACAGTATGAAAGCACAGTATGAAACAAATTTTAACAAATTTGTGATTCTTGTACATCCCAAACATTTGTGGCAGTGAACCCCAGTGTGTGGACTTTTAAGATAAAGTGACTTTTCCTAAAAAAACCCATCTAAATGTGAATCCTTTTATAGTAATAAACAGATCATGAACATCCTTACTATCAAAAATAGTGTTGACATTTTGGAGTTGAATATCTGAATACAAGATGAATAATTATTAACTAAATCAGGGACTAGTAATTAATCTCAAATTTAATTTTAAAATTATGTTATTAATTTTAAAGCGTGCCATTTCGTGCCACCCAATGTACTGGACATTTCTCATAGATATGTCTTTGTTTGACCATTTACATTGATAAATATTGCTATTAAAGTTAAAGCGAGAGGGATGTCACCTGCGCACACACACGATAAAAACGAAAAGGCTCATGGGTAGACACTTGTTTGTAAACAATGACATGCTATGGCCATCTGAAGCATGCGCAGGCGACGACTCCCTCGCTTTAATCAATCACTTTAGTGACAGTATTCTTTACTCCTCTGTGGAATTGCCAGAAATGTTTTTTAATGCTATGAAAATTAAATAATCATGATTGTTATTAATTATTAAAGTGACATAGATACCACATTCTTATGATACAAAGTTGCTGTTGTTGTGTGAGCGTTATTTATACATGACTAGTAAACTACTTATGATAATGTTTTTTCAGGTTTGGACTACCCATCTGGTCCTTGTGAGCCAGGATATTACTGTCCAGCTGGTCAAAATTCATCCAGACCATATGACTATCCATGTCCTATTGCACATTACTGTCCGTTGAATTCATCCGATCCAATACCGTGTCCATTTGGTACTTTTATGAACCATACACACGCATATCAATGTGATATCTGTATAGCAGGATGGTATGTTATCAATTGTTTGTACCACGCAATTTTATGCTCTAAATAAATACTAATGAATGTATATGTTGCATTCATTTAGAAAATACAATAATTTGATTTAGTTTACATACAATAAATGTTTTGTTTTCTTTAAATACGTAATGGTCTTATATTACTGTAAAATCTGTATTAAAAGCTGTAGCTTCTATTAAAATGATACAATGCAACAGAGAGGATGCGGCTTCTATTAGAGCATCTACACATATGAGAAATGATGAATTTTTGGGTCTCAATTGTTCAAAAAGAATGCGGCTTCTAATAGAGATTTTACAGAACTACTAAGTGTCGTCATTTGTTTCATCTCGAGAAGCGTTTTGCAAATTTTAGAGTATTTCCACATTCATCTTTATTGTCGTTAAAATGTCAACGTGTTTTTATTTTGCATACATTTTTGTACCTACATATAGTTACAGTAGATTTCCCCCACAGAGTCTACAGTCCATGTTTCAGACAACATCACATGATGCTAATCACCAAAACACTCATTGCTCATTTCAGGTATTGTATTCTTGGTGACCTTATGACATTGTGTCCCGAAGGCTATTATTGTCCGGAAGGTACCGGTACTGATTGGCAACCGTGTCCACGTGGCACGTATAATAATGAGACTGGTCTGTCTGCAGAGCCAGACTGTAAACCCTGTAACGGTGGTTATTATTGTGATCATATAGCTGCCATCACAGTCACAGATAAGTGCCAAGCAGGTAAATTATGCAATACATCTATTCCATATTCAGTTCACAATCATTCATGGTTGATCCTCGTATTTTCTGTGAAGAATCAGCCACACCCATTAATTGGTCAGCTGCCTTTATATTTCAAGATGTGTTTTTAAATAAAGAAGTTTTAGTTTGTCACATTTAAGCAGGAAACACATGAAATGTTTTCTTTTTTTATGTACATTAAAACAGGAATGGACATTTTAAAGTTGAAATAAAACATTTTGAGTAGCTCAAATTCATGATTATAAAACTGTTAAATAGACTTATCATTATATACTATTATTGTACATTACTAGGTTACTATTGTGAATATGGTGTGGATAGACCCACTCCTAATGGAGACAATAACATAACACTCACGAATGGAACATGCTCAGTACCATATGGCCAGACTGGAATGGGAGATGTATGTCCTGAGGGTCATTACTGTCCAGAGGGATCACCACAACCTATACTATGTCCAGCTGGAAGTTATGCAAATGAAACTGGACGATCGCTCTGCATTGATTGTCCAGCCGGATATTACTGTCCAGAAGGTAGGATGAAGCTTATTATTAACTCACCACTGGTCTGGAAGCGGAGACTGATTGTGTTCCTTGTACTCCAGGGTTCTATTGTCCTGATTTGTACATGACACATACCACTCTACTTTGCCACCAGACTTTTAAACCATGTTGAAATGCATATTGTCTGAATTAATCACCTAAATCCTATTTTTAATACTGTAACAAGCTAATCAGCTAAACTAGAAAGCTCACTAAAATTATTACAGTATCTGTTGAGATGACACAATTACAATTATATTGTTACCAACAGTATTTGAATTTGGAATTTCTTTTCGATTGTCATAAGAATATTAATTTCAAACATTTAGTAAATAATGGTTAGTTCAAAATAAGTATTCTTCATGTTTCTGAGTCTGTGTTTAATTCAATTTTACTGCATTTATATCATTCTAAATGTGACTTCTAATTGCACAACAGGATCTGTCATCTTTGAAGATAAAGCATGCCCACCTGGACATTACTGTCCTATTGGCACAGGTGCTGAATTTGAGAACCCCTGCCCAGCTGGTACATTCTATAATGTTACCCGTGCCACAGATGTTCTTGATTGTTTACCATGTACATGTGGTTATTATTGTGAGCTTGATGGATTGGATTGGCCAACAGATATGTGTGATCCAGGTAAGACATTTAAAGGCCCAATTCACTTGCCCCGGGCAAGTGTGAATTGGAGGTGTGGCTATGCTAATGAGTATTGTTAATCACTTGCATAGCCTATGACGCATCCTGTTTCAGCGTTCCAACATCACATGACTTTGATTGACAGTAGTTAATTATTCAAGATTAGTTGTGCGTCTCTTTCCCCGGTTGTGTTTTTGACTTTTATCCGCTAAAATCTCAGCTTAAACACTATTTATTGTCATAAATACTACACACAGTCACTGCTGTGGAATTCATAGTCACATACATCCACTTTGGCACGACATAATCGACCTTTAAGTTCGGGAAAACACGTTTTTACCGGAGCTTGGCTGGAGCTGTTTACTGCAGCGTGACAAGCAAGGAAATAATCCCTATTGTTTAAGAGCGTATTTTTACCTGGGCCTTTAAGGAATGCTGGTCCTTGCTCCACACATATATGGGTGATATGGGTGGAATGTGGTGTATACAACGTGTGTAAAAAACATTGTTTGCATGAAATTTTAACTCGCTGTTCCGAGACTATTGCCCTTTAGTATTGTAGAGGGCTAGCCAAATACTTTCACACTATTCTGGACACTGTTGCTGCCCAGATATTCAGTTGAACATAGGCCTGGAATGACTGCAAACAAACAAATTAATCTAAAATAGTCATGTAAATGAAATTTTTGACACATGCGTGTCGAGCCAGCTAGCCAATACCCTCAATCTGTAATGCCGCAAAATATAGTGTCAAAGTGTTAGACACTCTAGCTAAGATAATCACACGTTGAGCTTAAAGACAATCAAGCATTGGCGCCGGTAATCTTTTTCCAGCTTTGGCATTGGCTTGAAATTGTCTATACCAATAAACAAGCTGGTTGCTATACAGCTGGTAGTGAGAGGAAAGATTACATTGCTTAATCTGCCACTAAAGATTACATATAAAAAGATGACACATTTAAAACTGTATTAAACATAAATAAATAACATCATTGATATTCAGTGCTTATGTGATATTTCAATTTATTTGATACAAATATATGATACATTTTTTCTGCAGGTTGGTATTGTGGTGGTAATGCTAGCACAGCTCAGAGTGTCACTGACGGTGGAGAGTGTCAACCAGGTGAATACTGCCCTCAGGGGTCATGTAAACCTGTACCCTGTGACCCTGGTACATATTGTCAGGTTGCCGGACTGGATACACCTACTGGTAACTGTACTGCTGGTAAGTGCTGTATGCCGGGTTGCAAGCTAGTTTGTGAGATATGGTATTCCACATAATTATAGTATTGACATAATGCAATTGACAGCAACAATCTAGAATGTTTGAAAGTAGGTAGTTCAGGAAATAGTGTAAACCTGTTTATGTTTCACAAGTCATGATAAACCAACATTTTGTGGTAGTGTTGTTTTCATTGAAGTTTTTTGGACAAGAAGTCATGGAGACTTTCATAAAATGTGGTTTCTATGAATGTCATCAAACATTTTAAATGCCAACAACAATCAACATTTTTTTGTCTATACTTTCAGGATAATAAAACTGTTAGTTATCAATTCGATATTCAGGCTAACTTTCTTTATACTGTTTTGCTCTCACCAAGTATATTTATTCTTATTTCAGGTTTCTATTGCATTCTGGGAGCATTTGACTCAACCCCAACAGACAACACAACTGGTGCTGTATGTCCAGTTGGTCACTATTGTCCTGAAGGAAGTAGTGATAAAACACCATGTCCAACTGGTACCTATCTGGACAGTATCCAGAATGATGAAGAATTGGACTGTATTCCATGTATGGAGGGCTATTATTGTCCAGGTGTTGGTAGAGAGCTTCCTATTGGTCCATGTGATCCTGGCTATTATTGTCCACCTGGTCAGAACCAATCAGCATCCCCAGATTACAGGTATTATATAGATTATGATTGATTGACTGATGACGTTCCCAATGTTAAAATAAAAGACCATTTCTTTGTATGAAATATGGATAAGCTTGGAGAAATTGACTATGAATATGTCATGATTGTTGTGCATATTACAGGTGTCCATTGGGTCATTATTGTCCACTTGGTTCAGACGATCCAGTACGTTGTGAGAATGGTACCTACCAAGACGAAGAGGCACAGAGTACATGTAAGATCTGTCCATCTGGATACTTCTGTGATAACACCATGGCTCCAGTAGTTCTGGATAACAGTACAACACTCTGTCCAATGGGTTACTACTGTCCAGATGGTACCAGATATGCATATGAGTTTCCATGTCCAATTGGAACATTCAATAATCTCACAGGTAAGAATAAATTGAGGAATTCTGTGTCTGTTCCTTGATGTTATTTGGTGAACATTTCCAAGAACACAATTCAAATGACTGACAATAACTAAAAAAGCAATACTGACAAGTACATGTATACTGCCCTCTATAGTCATCCTGCTCCATGTGGTACCTGTCATATATCATTATGAGTAAGAATCAAATTGTTTCTGTATGAAATCTGATGTTTACAACAGAAACCATCTGTGATCATGTTTGTAACTGTTTTGTTTTATTAACCACAAGCTCATTATATCTGCTTAAAAATCTTTTGAATGTTAAAGCGACGGAGTCGTCACCTGCACATATGGAAGACATCCATAGTGTGTCGTTGTTTACAAACAAGTGTCTACCCATGATTCTTGGCAGTTTTAGTATCACTTGGGGCTCAATTTCCATGCGTGCACAAGTGGTGACCCCTCCGCTTTAACGCTTGTTGTTCTCTACAAAATCTGTGGTTTAATAGTTATAAAGTATTCCTATATTTAATGGCCATTGTATGAAACAATTATTTCTTCTCACATCATTGTACATATGACTCCTTGCACTGGGTTACACATGCACATACACCAGTCATACCAGGAATATATTACAGAAACCAAACATTACAATAACATATTATGTAGATGATATTCTTACATATGCATATACCAGTAGATGCTAAATCAAATTTTCTATTCACAAACAAATTTTGCATTTTACCCACACTGTATACATGTTTATAACTAAAGTACATTATCCTAATATTTCTTTTTTTCAGGTTTACGTCAGATGGAGGATTGTACTCCATGCCTAGGTGGTTATTACTGTCCATTACCGGGTATGGTGACTCCTATAGACCCATGTGATGCAGGCTATTATTGTAAACAATATGCTAATATATCAGCTCCAAATCAAGGTACGTCAATGCTTTCTCCCATTTTTGCAATGATTATAATAGTTTAAGATGCATATTTTAATTACAGAACATTGCACAGAAATTGGATCATAATTCCAAACACAACAATGTGCACTGACACTTAACATATATACATGAACAGCCTAAAAATCAATGAGTATTAGATATTGATCAATATATAAAATACTTACCAATATTTTGGCAAACAAATATTCTTACCAACATTAAGTTCTAAATAGTAAAATTCATGAAAGAAAGTAGTAAACTAAAAACTAGAATTGTGATTTATCTTACCATCACAATACAGATCAAAATTAGCAAAATGACAACTTTTCAAAATAAAACATATTTTCCTAAATTATTTAGATTATGTTGTTTACGGATATTTGAAATAACATATCAACCATTGATCTCTATATAAAAGTCTCAGAGCACGAATTTATTCTGTTAGCAAGAATATTTGAAATAACATACCCGACCATTGATCTCTATATGAAAGTCTTAGGGGAGTTTACAATTTGAAAAACACAAAGCTGAATAATAAGATGGTACATGTATGCATACACTGTTACTAAATACAAAACTTCATCAGTTTTACTATGTTTGTTATAGGTGATGATGCGAATATATGCCCTGAAGGTTACTATTGCCCAGAAGGTACAGCAGATCCAGTCCCTTGTCCCAAAGGTACATTTGGTAACATCACTGGTCTGGAAGCGGAGACTGACTGTGTTCCTTGTACTCCAGGGTTCTATTGCCCCGATTTGTACATGACACACACCACTCTACTTTGCCACCAAGGGTAAGTCTGGAATTAGAGAATGATTTTCTGCTTGTACTTCAGGATTCTATCATAGAGAGCCAAGCAAGCATGTTACTAATGAATTATTGGTCTATAATAAAGAGTACTTTGTTTCTTGTCCTCCAGGGTACTACAGATTAGCTAAATTAGCTACAATAACATGCTAGCTGAAAAGACATGTTTTACACTAGTCTACTGAATTTGTTTTGGAGATGTGTTTAGAATTAACTGAAATGATATACCAAATTACTCGTTTCAGTTTCAGTTTGAAGCATCTCAGGTATTGAGATTTAAAACTTTATTTGATTTCAGTTACTACTGTGTAGCAGGCTCTTGGGATCCAAGGAATGAGTCTTGTCCTACCGGTCATTATTGTCCAGAGGGGTCTGGTTGGCCAACACCTTGTCCTAGAGGTACCTATGTCAATACACTCAACAGGTGGATGTTATCACAATGTGATCCATGTGATGACGGCACATATTGTAATGAAACTGGTAAGTATGCTGTGTTTTCAGAATGAACCACAAATGAACTATTTTGTATCAAATCCAAGATGGCCGCAGTGGCAACGCTCTGCTCATACTGGAAAACAATTGTCATACTGGGAACTGTTTAAATTATGTAAATTTTGTGAAATGTTCAACCAGTATCAGGATTCATATCAATATTAATATATTTTTCTTCCTATGTCACCACGTAAGATTTTGAGATATGAATAAATAATTTCACAATAGAAACCATTTCAAAATTTCAACTTTTTAACATTTTCCTGGACATTTTATACTTTTGTATCTTGTAATTTTTTTTTCATTTTCACTATCCTGATGTTGTGTACCTATGACAAACATGATATATATATTCTTTAATTTAGGTCAAACTATAATCTGACCTAGATTTCATTACAAGAATATGCAAAAAAAAAGATTTTGTCCAAGCAGACATAATTTTATTAGTGATCTTGTTGCATGTGAACAAATTCTGTTTAAATTTGATTTTATATTAGCCATAGAATTCATGTATTTATTGCTACACTTAAAACTTTCATTTTGTAAAAACGTTTTCATCTTTATGACCTGAATAATATCAGAGGTACATTACTTGGGGTTTGCAACGCGCATAGTACTGTATGGTGACATCATGTCAAGATCCCATTCAAGTCCCATCTCGTAGATAGCGAGACTGGTGCTACGACCTTCTGACATGACATAGGCGGTTTGTAATAAAACAATATAACATGTATTACCACATTCATAGTGAAAAAATGTAATACATCGAAAATGTACAAAAAATATAACTATCGTAATCCGTCATATCGTGAGCAGCTATTTTGATCCACCTGGACATCCCAGTATCCTAGTTACCTCGGGCATGCGCATTCGAATTTTTCTGAGTTGGAACGCTTATGCGAGAGCGAGATTGGAACGGGATCTTGTTATAACTTACTAAGAAAGCATAATAACTCATGTATGACCCATATTTCCATGTTAAATCAGTTTAAATTTGTATATTTTTTCTCAGGTCTCTCTGCGCCATCTGGAGATTGTGATCCAGGATTTTACTGCCCACCTGGACAGATCGTACCCAACCCTTCAGATTACCCATGTAGCATTGGGTTACATTGCCCCATGGGTAGTGCATTACCAGTTCCATGCGAACCAGGCACCTATACAAACTACACTCAGGCTGATGAGTGTTTGGAATGCCCAGCTGGATTCTATTGTGTACCGGAGGAAGTTATTGAAGGTACAATTAATCAAACATTTATACATGTATCTGAATTATATTTTTCTGAATCTGGGATGTTCATTTCAAAGTCAACTGAAAGTAAGCATCAAATAAAATAAACTGATTGTGTGTCTCCCAAATGCCACTAATCCAGATACCACTAACTATAATTACTTTGATACATGTATATATTCTCTGTAATGAATAATTGCTATAAAATGTTTTCTGATTTCCAATGAGTTTGTCATACTGAGGTTTCTGAAATATTTGAATATTTCTTCAGATCCAACAGATCAGAATATTATGGTATTAATTATAGACACAAATCAGAGATTCCAAATTTTGATTGACATATTTGAAGGTTGAAAATATTAATTTAAAATCTCTGAACTCTTCAGAAATTTTCAAAGCATAACTTTGTTAAAATGCTGTTCATTCAAAAGTATTTTTGGTAGTTTGGTCTACATACATGTAGGAAAATAAGTAATTCTATTTTCAACCTAATTGTTCTTTATTTTAGGTAACTCCTCCACTGGCCATCGTTTATGTCCACAAGGATTCTATTGCATTGCTGGCACTGGACGTAACTGGACATCCTGTCCATCTGGGACCTATGGTGCCAGACTGGGACTTGAAATGGAGACTGACTGTACTGACTGTCCTGGTGGCTTCTACTGTGAGGGAGTGAACCTTACATCTCCCACAGATGAGTGTGATCCGGGATATTTCTGTGTTTCAAGAGTTAACAAACCAAATCCTACACCTATTGATGCTATAGCATGTGATGTTGAAGGTAAATATAACAGTTATATTTGTACTACCCTACTTCTCAAAAGTAAGTTTACATGTCCACTAGTGTATCTTGAGTCTAACTCCAGTGAGACCTGCAGGTACTGTCATGTATCATGAATGTAACTTGAGAGGAATGGTAATGTTACTGATGTATGGAATGCTACTAATATAACATGAATTATTCAATGGCAAAGAACAGAACCATGTGTATATAAAGCACATTGGCGGCAAAAGAAAATAAAATGAAATGACTAGGCACAGTCAGCGTGCGTTGTAAACAGTACAAAGCAAATAGGCTACAATAACCATGCACAGTGGAGAAATGAAACAAACGAACCAAGCGTATGCAAATGAAGAGTATGCAAATGAATAATTAAAAATTTTGAACTGCTCACAAAATACAACCAAGTACTTTAATATTACACATGTATGATTTACCATGGTATGTCAACTCATTTTTGAGAAATCGAGTGCAAGTATTAGCATTAGATACTATTTTTATGTCTTTACTATTATGGCCACCATTAGGTTATTAAAAGCCCTTGATTAAGCATTTGGTTCTAATCATATCACTGATTACTGTGTAATCAACCAATTATGAAATAAATGTAATCTTAATTGAAAAATGTGTTTGATTTAATATAACAATTGGAGCAAGTGTTTCACATGACATATTATCATTTTAGGTGTTCATACTGGTATAGGTGGTGTCTGTCCAGTTGGTTATCACTGTCCTCGTGGATCTGAATGGCCTGTAGGATGTACACCTGGTACTTATCAAGACCAGCTTGGACAAGAACTGTGTAAAGCGTGTCCATCTGGTTATTATTGTGAAGGCAATTTTACTACCTATTCAGATACTATCTGTCCAACGGGGTATTACTGCCCTCAAGGAACGCAGTATGATCATCAATATCCATGTCCTGAGGGTACCTTTAACAATCTTACTGGTATGTATAAATCTGATCTGCAAATCAAACTTGTTTTGTTGGCTTTAAAGCTGTATGATCTGTTAATCGTGAAGGTCGTCACCTGCGCATGCGCGGAAATTAAGTCCCAAGCGATGATAACAACACTCATTAAAAACGCAAAGGCTCATGGGTAGACACTTGTTTGTAAACAATGACACGCTATGGTCATCTGACGCCTGTGCAGGTGACGACTCCTCGCTTTAAACTTATTTACACTTTAACACATTATACAGTAGTAAAATATGAACCTGAAATCCTGACATGCAACACAGTTTCACAACACGCTCTGCACAACTAGCCTAGAACGTGTGGAACAAAATATATCCAATAATACAGCGTTAAGCAATGAGGAAATTTTCCGTTAATTTTCCAGTTGGGACATGGTTATACTGTGTCTGTCTGAGATTTGGTTGAGATTCAATTCCAATATAATATATTTATAGAATGATCTTGGTATATAGATTTATCAGGCATGGTTTCACAATGTGTATATGCTGTGGGACAAATACAGATGATTTCACAGCAGACTTCATTACCTTTTTTAGAATTAATAATCTCCTTATAAATGCATGAACTAAAAGTTTACCGTGAATGACACACAGACAATGCTTCTGGTCAATATTTGTGGGACACTTCATAATAGATGGGGGAACCGTGATATTGTATATACTCAATTTAGAAATGTCAATACAATTTTAATAATCTTGCCTACTTATGATGTTTAGAAAATTACTTCATGAACAATTTTGGAAAAAATTGGTCTGAAACATAGATCTGTGGTTTGGATGTATCTATATGATTATAATGGAATGTCTGGGTTACTATGAATATGAAATTATAACATAATTGTAATGCATCAGTTTGTGCTGTTCAATTTTCAACCTGGCTCATTTTAGACCAGATCAACCAAGATCAAATCTAATCAACCCAAATAAGACTAAATGTATTCATCACCTTGGCAATAATTTTGAGATGTTATTATAAATATTGTAGGTGGTCACAATGAGTCGTGGTGTGTGGATTGTACACCTGGTATGTACTGTGAAGGTCAAGGTAACAGTCAGCCGACTGATTATTGTGATGCAGGATGGTATTGTATCAGTGGATCATATCAAACACATCCATCAACACCATATGGAGGACAATGTGTTGCAGGTAATACACAGTCAATATTGGTAACTGCCCTTTTCACA